GAGGAGGAGGAGGAGGGAAGATAAAGGAGGAGGGAGGAGCACAAAAGGGAGGGAGGGGAGGGAAGGAGAGGAGGAGTGAGAGGAGGGAGTCCTTCCAAGTCATGTCCCCAGTGCCATACTTCCTCCAGCGTCACTCAGCCCACCTCTTAGCAGCACATTCAGCTATGAGTTTATCAGCAGATTAATGCACTGATGACTATAACACCCCCTTGTTTCAACCACCTTCTGATAGCCTGATCTTTGAATGTATGAGACAATTGGGTGATGTTTTAGATCTAGACCATAACACTTCCATATTATTCAGTATATTTTCAAGATTATTTATAGTTAATGGAATAAAAAACCAGTGCTTTTCAAAGCAGTGGTCAACTTTAGTAGTCAACTTTAGCAAGCCATCAGTAGTAACGATTATATTACAACAATCGAGGACAGCTTGTTTATACAGGCCCTTAGTTAAAAAGAGTTTCAGTATGGGTGCGTGATTATTTAAATACCAGTAGGATACAAAATCAACATTTAAAACATCATTTAAACACCTTCTAAATACCAATAATGAACTAATTGAAAAAGAAATCGGGAAAATAATTCTATTCATAATAGCATTAAAAAATACACAAGGGTCAATCAACCAAAGACGTAAAAGATATCTACAATAAAAATTACAGAATACTGAAGAGAGTAATTGAACAAGACAGTAAAATATGGAAAGAGCTCTATGCTCATGGATCAGCAGAATTAATATTATTTAAATGGCTATATTATCAAAACAACTACAGATTGGTTTCTGTCCCCATCAAAGTTAGGATGATATCTACTGCAAGATTAGATAGTCATAGATTTCATATGGAAACACATGACCCAGATTATCAGGAAAATCATAAGCAAAATGAACAAGGCTTAAAATAATGCAATACCGTACTTCAAATTATATTACCATGCTGTAGTAACAAAAATAGCATGGTATTGGCACAAACATGAACACATAGATCAATGGATAGAAGACAAAGTAACCCACACAACTAACTATAGCAATCTGAATCTTGACAAAAGAGTATAAAACTTTTGAGAAAAAACATCTTCTTTAACAAATTGTGCAGCAAACAAACTAGATCCCTCTGTGCTCCCCTTGTACAAAAAATTAGTTCAAGGTGGATCAAACACCTACATAAAACACCTGAAAAATTTAAATCTGCTAGAAGAAAACATAGGGAAAATACCTGAAACCACAGGCACATGGAGGCACTTCCTGAATATACTTGCAATAGAACAGGAAATAGTAGGAAGAATCAACAAATGGGACTACATGAAATAAAAATGTTTTTGCACAGAAAGAAAAAACTCAACAGAGTGAAGAGATAACCTACAGAATGGAAGAAAATATTTACCAGCTACTTTTCAAACAGAGGATTAATATCTAGAATATACACCTGTAATCCCAGCACTTGGGAAGCTGAGGTAGGAGGATCATTGTGAGTTTGAGGCCAGCCTGGGCTACAAAGTGAGCTCAAAGCCCACCTGAACTGCATAGCGGGACCCTGTTTCAAAAAAACGAAATAAAAAATAGAATATATAATGAAGTAAAAAGCACCAAAATCGCATAGTCCAATCAGTAAATGGGCAGATCAACTGAACAAAAACTTCAAAAAGAAGAAGAAAAATGGCCAATAATTATATGAGAAATAAGTTCAACATCTTTAACCATTATGGAAATGAAAATCAAAACTGCATTGACAGTCCATCTCACTCCTGTCGGAATAGCTATCACAAAGTATATAAAAAATAAGTACTGGCAAGTATGCAGTGATGGAGGGAGAAACTCTTCTACACTGCTGGTGAGAATGTAAATTAGTACAACCAGTATGGATGTTCCCCACTAAAGTGCAGATAAAACTACCAGATGTTCCAGCTATACTACTCTTTAGTATTTACTTAAATGAATTAATGTCAGCATGCTATAGGAATTCCTGCTTACTGACATTTATTATGACACAATTTGCAACAACCAAATTATGCCACCAGCTTCAGTACCCATTAACAGATGGAAGAATAAAGGAAATTTGATATCTATCTATCTATCTATCTATCTATCTATCTACACTATAGTGTTATTCAGCAATAACGGGAAAGCAAATTACATACTTTGCCAGAAAATGGATGGAACTGGAAATCATCATATTAAGCAAAATATGCCAGACACAGAAAAACATGTATTTCTTGTTTTCCTTAATATGTGGAGTCTAAAATAGATGACATGAAAGTAGAAAGGAAACTACTACTATACAAGAAGAAAGTAACAAGGGGAGGAGAGAAGTTGGTTTAAGAAGAGTAATGGGGAGATGAAAACTATGAAAATATATGCATGTGTGTATATACTACATTGAAACCCAATATTTTGTACAATTAATAAGCACTAATTAAATATATTTACAAATAAATAAATACTAGTAGCTTTAATTTTGTTATAATATTCATCGGTTGTAAAGGAGAAAAACTAAATATTTCATTCTAGAATTGGTCTTTTATTTCTGATATAACACAGACATTAAATAGGAAATGCAGAAACTGTATACAGCAAGTATCAGGAAACTCCCTCTTTTGACTGGAACATAGTTACATGCCTGGTATAATGGGAAGCAAATTAATAGAAGGAAAAATGTAATAGCTGAATGAAAGAAAAATATTACTAGCATATTTTATTGTGACATCTACTAGAATGCCTCCTCTCAGGCCCAATTAAGCATCCAGACTCCAAGATTATGGCAGACCACTGTAACACCATTTCATTCAAAAGGATGTAGTGCAGAAGTCACTGCCCTGACACTTGTCAGCAGCAGCATTTGTTGTGCAGTTCTCTGAAAGCTCTATGCAGAAGTCCACAGTGCCTTCCAGGAACTGTGCCGTATGCCCCCTCACTTCACTTTGCCCCCATTTCCCGTGTGAGCACCTCAGGTGAAAAGGATCAAGATTTACATTGGGAGAGTGCAGAAGTTCTTCTACCCTTGAAGGTTCCTATCTAGGGGAACAAGAATTTTTTTTTATCAACTCTAAAAGCATAGGTCACAGGATCTCCACAAGGGATACATTTCTACATGAGAGTTGCTGAACATGGATAAAACAAGTTTTATGATTTTTCTGTCAGATATTTATAATTCTCTCAGTCCAAATGCAATCTACCAACAAAAGTTCGTTTTTACTCTAAGCAATGTTACTTAGCAACATAGTTAACACATACCACCTTATCCAGTTACTAAAGACACAGAGCTAGAAGTTACAGAAAGGTCAAATTCTCATGCAAAAATGGCAAGATAGTGGTATCCTATAACTCACAACTGGTTTCATCCAGAAAAATGAAATGTGTGATTAGTTGAATTCATGAATTTTGGATACGAATATTGTATAATTCTCTACTGCTATTTATTTTTTCTAGAACTAATGTACACCGTTGAACTTGCTGGAGGGCTTGGTGCTATTCTTTTACTGCTTGTTTGTTTGGTGACCATCTATAAGTGTTACAAGATAGAAATCATGCTCTTCTACAGGAATCATTTTGGAGCTGAAGAGCTGGATGGAGGTAAGATGAGTTGCATTTTTTATTGTTGTTCCTGAATAGTCTTATATTTTTTAAGTCATTGGTTTTTTGTATGGAAAAATGTTACCTGCATAACTACTTGCAATAACTCCTTCAGTGTTCAAGTTGTAAATTCATATTTTGCATGGAAGTTTGTATCTTTTGCTTTGAAGCAAATAAATATTTTCTTCTGAAGGCTGTAAAGCAAACCTACTCTTTTTAAAAATGTGTTCCAAACTGTACTTACACACTTCAAACACTGATTGCAATGTCATCAGAGTGTTCATTTTCTCTCACCTTGTAATCATTACTGAAAGGCCAGCTTTACTTTTCTATAGGTAAGGACTTTCTCTTAATTGTGCTCCCTAACCCAGTAGTTTGAAATGAATCTCAATTTGCTCTTGTTTAGACTGATCAGTTGTAATAAACAATATTATGACTTTTAGCATTCATTCCAACAGTCGCTGCTCTCTTGTTTATATAGCTATATTTAGACAGGCTAATTTTTCTTCTAAGTGTGTACCAACACCTAAGAAAGTGTGCAAACACATTGTCTTCATAATAATATATTTTGTCTCAAATTTCATGAGTAAATATTGCTTTCATGGAGCTCATAATTATTCTTTGCTTCTGGTCAGCCAAGAATATATGTAGATTCTAAGAAGAATTTTGGGTCATTACATTTCAACTCCTTAAACTGCTCACTGATGACTTGAGAGCTTAATTTTTCATATCTTTTTTTTGTCATTTGAAGAACATAAGATAAACTTGCCATATAGGAAGAATATGCAAACTGATAATGAGTAGTGAAAATGATAAAGGTTTCTTGCTGGTAATTTAAAGCATTTTATTTACTGTCAGTTTTGCACTAAATAGTACAAAAAGAAGTGAAGCAATTTGCCCACATTACCTCATTCCTATGATTGTCTGGAATAAATCCATAGGCAGAGGTGTAAGTTGTCAGGCCGAGCAAGAGTACTACTTTTCTGGAATCCTTTTTCCATTAAGTTGAAGTCTGGGCTACAGTAAAACTGTTGCTGGCTTGCTTGTGTGAAGATTTCTTAATTGTTCTTAGTTTCTAACTTTCTTGCCTATCTGTACAATTATTGTCCTTCTGTTCTACTGCTTCAAGAAGATGTGAGAAAATTGTCAATGTCAGAGCTATCATTGGATAAGCATACCAAGCAGAGTACTAGATATTATAAAGTCATCCTTGCCAAGCCTCACAAAAGTTCTCAGGTCAATATTATAATCTCCATTTTAGTGATAAAGCAACTGAGGCTCCCAGTGGTCAAATAACTTACTCAAGAAGATAATACAAGAATTACTGTTAAGTGGCCAAGGTGGAATTTGAAAATAAGTGTACTTCCAAATCCTTTATTTTATAGAATACTGAGACCTTATCATTTTTCTCTTTTAAAATTTATTATGTTCAATTTAATGATCAGCTGTTGTTTATGCAATTAATATGGTAGATGATGTTTGAAAAAGCAGATTACCTAAATGAGTTTTACTTAATCTCTTAACACTGTTTTGAATGCTTATTTTGTGTTCTGAATGATTTTACCCAAACCATCAATTTTCAATGTAAGTTATAATTTTCTGAGTGTAGAAATGATAGAATATAATGAAAAAATATGGAACAAATGCATTTGAACTGTCAGTGACTTGCAGTTTCTTTGGGGGATCCTATTAATTGTAAACACTTCAGTGATTTACTTGGATAAGCCTAATGGGTTTCATTGCTATTCTGAAGTTGCTGGGTCTGCAGCTTTTCTAAAGTGTTTCAAATAAGAAAATAAAGCAAACAAAAACTAACAAATAATATTCTAACAGATGAGAAGTTTCTCTCAGAAAGCTAATTTAGTTAATAAGTGCCATAGGATTTATTAAAACCCTGTCCCTAGAGCCATCTTGAACACAATCAAGGATCTAGCTATTAGGGATTTCCACGAGATGTTACTGTGAATGCATTAGGCTCAAAGAAAACCAGATAACAAACTTAATTATCAACTGGATAAGGTCAATGTATAAAGAATTTCTTTAAGAAGGAAGAAAAAAGCAAAGGTTGCGAAGACAGTGATTGTTCAAATGGTTCTATGAGAAGGAATTCTTATTACAAGTGGAATCACATGTGGACACTCTCTATATTAAAGTAGTTTCACTTCTTCTGAAATGCTGGCCAAGATCCCATCCTTTAATCCTCTATGATGCTGAATTTCACCTGACTCCTAGGACTTCCAAATATATTTTTCCCCCAAATTATACTAGAATAATGACAATGCAGTAGCAAGTTTAAAATTTACATCTTAATAAAAGTGATATTTTCATAAATTTATAGCATTCTACAATGAAGCATCAAACTTACCTTTCAAGCTCTCATTTCTACTAATGGCAAAACATAATCCTAACCTTGCTACTCTAAGATAATTGTCACTGCTAGTTTAGAATTAGGCTTTTTTTTGGGGGGGGGGAGTTATTCCTGTTTTAAATTAAGATATTTAATATCCTTTCTCATTTCCATTTCCTCCAAGAAATCTGTCTCTATGGAGCTCCCATAGAGCTCTGTGGTATAGGAGAAAAGCAACTGGTGCATGTGTCGTCCTGTCCTCACTTGAGCCACTACTACCTGGTCTCTGAACTCAACACTGGCCAAGATCTTTGCCATGGCCTCCATGCACAAGCTTTGCAAACTTGTCCAGACTTTTTCTTGTGGGAAGTTCAAACATTCTTGCTTATATTTCTAGCAAACGACTGCACACATACATACCTTCACATTAAAAAAATGTAATCATCCAATCAACCAGTTATCTCTTTAACATTTATGTCTCATACAGTGTGCAAGATATTTCTCAAAGTTTAAAGTTTTCCAAGATCTTCCATGGGAAAAAGGACACAAATCCCTGCTTTTCACAAATTTTGACTCCAACCATAGGAGCTTCTGTTTTCCACTTTGCGCCACTGGATCCCTGAAAGACCCTGCTAAGAAATTCAGAAAGCCTCTCAGCCTTAGTCATACCCTGTTAAATCCTTCCACAAATGCTATTTTGGTCAAATAATGGTTTACTCAGAGAAGTGGAAACGTTCTATGAGATCATCAAATCGTTGTGGTCTCCCACAAGTGTTTCTCTTTAAAAGGAAGAGATGACTAGAGAAGACCACACTTTTCAGAGTCTTCTCTTGGCTTTGAAAATTTGCAACTTAGAGGTAAAAGTCGAGCCACACCTTCTTTATCATTGGCATTCTATCACCATATTGCATCCTCTGAAAGGGAAATTAATAAAATACTTTTAGAACTAAGGAAAGGCAACAAATGCGAAGAACAGGGAAATACACTTTGGTAAATAGGGGCTGGAGATACAGCTCAGTGTTAGAGTGTTTGGCTATTAAGTGTGAGGCTGGTTTCAATGCTAGAAACACACACACACATACACACACAGACACACATAGGTTTAGTTAATATTTTGAAATGAGGACCTACTATGGTAAATGTTAATAACAGATTCATTGAATAGCATGTGTTGTTTTCAATACTTGCCTGATACTCAGAAACGCATACAACTAGAAAGAATTTAAACCTAGGTCTAAATGATTCTCAATCCCAAGAATTGCAGCCACTGATTCAGTAAGGGGGTTGGAATATTTGGTATCAGGGACAGATTTAGCCAGTTTATTTTAAGTCATTGCAGTTGGCATTACCTGAATATAACAGTTTTACATCAGAAGAAATGTGATATAGAAGAATTCTAACATTTTTTCCAAGATAGAACATGGTGATGCTTTTCTTTCTTGGTTTGTTCACATCTCTGCTTGACCCTATTCTCTCTCTCTCTCTCTCTCTCTCTCTCTCTCTCT